ATTTCGGCCTCTTTCTTTTTCTGTCTGCAAATGCGTCTCGCTTCCCTCTTCAACTCTCGGTATAAATTGAAACTAGTCACTTAATTAATAGTAAAGACGAATGTCAAGAATCGATTCCTAGTCGACTTTGAATACTGAAGATCGATTCCGAAAAATCGATTATTTTACGAGAAAACTCGATTTTCGAGTAGAATCGGAATCGAGTTTACCATCCCTATTGTCGAAACAGCAACGAATTAACACCGCCCAAGCTATAGCGCAAAACCAAATATGCCCTGCGAGAAATATTTTATGACTCTAAATGCCTTTGGTGCCATGCAATGCCTTTTATGTTCCAAGTGTTTTAAAGATAATAGGGAATATATCCTTAAAGCACACTTTGTTAATTTTAATTATACATACTATTAATTATTCAAATGAAAAAGAACGAAAAAATATATAATTAATTTTAATTACAATTTCTTACTGGGCTACTTTTTTTTCGTGCTCACCAACACTGACAGATCCTCTCATGCCGACCAGGGCACACAAACAATTCGTGCATACTTATGTATATAGCGCATTGATCTCTTCAGCGAGCTCTTAACTGCACAAATCATAAGTACTTTCATAAGCACATACATACATACATACAAGTGCAAGTATTAGGGAATACCTATATATTAGTATAAGCACGTAAAAAGTGTTAATAAATTAAAAGTGCGGATATTTTCAAACTTCAAACTAAAATATAAATAAACAATATCGTTTAGCAAGTAAATAAGAAACGGTAATAATAAAAAATAAAGAATCCGTTTTATTCGAAATTCAAAACTCTATTTACCTAAAAGAGTATTCGATTTTAAGCAATACTGCTTATTCAACTCAGTCGCACTGAGAAAAAAAAATTAATTGTTTTTCTACTCGARAATCGAGTTTTCTCGTAAAATAATCGATTTTTCGGAATCGATCTTCAGTATTCAAAGTCGACTAGGAATCGATTCTTGACATTCGTSTTTACTATTAATTAAGTGACTAGTTTCAATTTATACCGAGAGTTGAAGAGGGAAGCGAGACGCATTTGCAGACAGAAAAAGAAAGAGGCCGAAATGCGTGAGTATGAAGAGCTTGATAAGCTGGCCGATAG